CCACAGGTGTATGCAGGGATAATGTCAGAAAATGTCATGGACTATGACAAGTTAGAAGTGGCCTTGCTGAAATGTTATGAACTTACCAAGGAAGGTTTTCACTGGAACTTTAGAGAAGTCATATCTGACACTGGAGAAACTGTATTTCAATTTGGGGCACGTCTACAGCAATACTTCACAAGGTGGACTGACATGGCCAAGTGTGAAGATAGTTTGAAGGGCTGGCAGATCTACTAATACGTGAATAATTCATGATCACATGCTCCACTGACATGTCATCATTCCTATAAGACGTGGACAAGATGATCAAACTGGCAAAACAGTATCAAGAAGCCCATTGAGGGAGTATAACTGGCAAGTCCAAGAATAACCAGTCAAAGTCGAAACTAGAGGTGGCTGACCAGAAGCAGGATGCCACCAAAGGTGATAAGAAGTCAAAAGACAAATGGCAGAGGACATGCGAGTGAGTGCAAGTCAGTCACAAACAAGAAACTGCAGAAATATCAACATAAAGCAGCTGGAGCTACCTACAAAAATGGTGCTGGCAAGAAACAAGAAAAGAATGACTGTTATCATAGATACTGCTGCCAGAAGAAAACAAAATAGAGATAACTCATCAGATTCCCCACAAAAAGGAAGCACTATCATCATGATTAAAGTGCATGATTGATGGTCAGCTCAAGTTAGCAAATGGGTCAACAGTGTCAGTGGTGATCATAGCATGTGACAAATATGGAGAGATTCCAACAAACCACAACATGTCAGTAGGTGAAGTCTATGCTGGGGGCAAGAAAGTAAAAGCCCTACGAAACACTGGGTGCAGCAGTGCAGCTGTGAGAACCAGTTTTAGTATCTGATGACCAGATGATGGGCAAAGTACATCTGTGTGTGCTGATTGGTGGGACAGTGAGAAAGTTTTCCATAGCAGGAATAAAGGTGAACACTCCATACTACATGGGAGACCTTTAGGCCATGTGTATGAAAGTGCAAATCTACAACTTGGGGATTGGAAATATACCAACCAGTAGAAGTTTGGAAGAATCAAACAGAAAGGAGACTGATGAGGCATCTGCAGTCACCATAAGAGCTCAAGAAATGAAAAGCAAGCAAGACATCAAGCCCCTGCAAGTCTAGAAAAGTAACATCTTGAATGTAGGCCTAAAGGAGCTGAAGGAAGCACAGAAGAAAGGAATACCAAACATGTGGAATCAGTAGGACTGTATACAACTAGAAGGTCACTCATAACATCAATAATAGAAGTGTCTTCTAACACTTGAGAGACAACCAACCATCACATGAGTGGTCACATAGTATTCAACTCAACAAAGGATCATCAACATTACAATAAAACTTATTACATAGAAAACAATATATAGTGATAATAGCCAACCACCACATGAGTGGTCACATAGTACTCAACAAAGGATCATTAACATTACATTAAAACTTATTATGTAGAAAACAATATACAGTGATTATAGCAGAACAATGTGATGGCAAGACTCGGTTACTTGTGTAGAACACAATGCAAGTGTGAACAATGGAATGGAATAACAAAATCAGAAAAAACATTTACTTATGTAGAAAATAATCAACAGTAAAATAATAAAATGACCAAAAACCATTTACATATTAAAGAAAAACTAATGTACCATGTTAACAGTTGAACAACAAAATATACAAGAAATCTTTTACTTATTATCTAGTGATACAGTCTCATTAGTGGAAAAGAAAAAAAAGAAATTTACACATTATCTAGAAAACAATGCAATGTCAACACTAGAAGAAGATAATAACAAGAAAACATTAACTTACATTAACTGCACCAGTTCTTGGATACTGAAAAATAAGAAAGCCTGTTATATTTTCATAGCTCTGCATTCACTCAAGAATTTTGAAATTTTGTTTCAAATGTCATGCTGTATCTTTCAAAGACACTTAAGACTTTTAAATGTAACTTCCTTAATATTGATTTGTATCAACTACACTACACACATGCAGTAAAATAGCTAAAAGTAATAAGTTAAAAAATAAGTGAAACCCTTGTATGAATATATTGTTATAGCATTGTTCTTTACAGACTCTTATAAACTGTCAGGTGAAACTAATTCAATGTTCAGTTCACTTCTTGAGAAGAAATTAGTTTATTTTCTCCTTTAAATGTTTGTAAAGGCCTAAATCAGTTTTAAACTGTCATAAATTGTTTAATCCTATATTTACAAATAATTCAATACTTCTCTAACAACAGTAATAGGACTAATATACAATCAATTCACTAAGTTGGACAAAGTAGTGCAATAACTCTTTTTTTTTTATCTTAGTTAATGTTTTTGGAATCTCAACTCTCTCTTAGTGCTTCACGGAATGTCATTTCTACCTTTGTTCTAGAGGTTTCTAGGATTAACATGAATTTAAAGTCAAATTATATCATTATAAATCCACAGCTCCCTTTAGCTAACAAATAAACATTAAATATACAGCTTACAACAATATGATACCCAGTAGCCCTTTATAGACATGTAGTATTCAGTAGTCCTTATATATACAGGTGTATGATATCCGATTCACATGATTCACTTTGTTAAGCAAGCTATACTGAAATAACTGAATAATTTAAGAACTGTTTTAATGTCCACCAATTCTTCATCACCTGACACTTGTATGTGCAACATTCCATACCCCTAAAGAAAACTGACATAAAAAACTTCAAGGGATCATTTCAAGATATTTCCCATATTGTCTCAGATGAGTAATATATTTGTCTCAGTCTTTTGCACATCCTTTAAAGAATCACTGAAATAAACATTTAATTTTGTTTCTTGAAACTAAAGCATATTAGGAATCCTGGAATCTGAACATTTCAATTTAAACTTATCACACACACAAAGAAAATGGTGTATTTTTGTGCTTAACAAGAAACAAAACTTATTAATCCTCAAGAAGACCCTGTTTAAACATGTGATGATCAGGGGCATTGCTAGTGCATTTGAATGTGATATTGATTGGCGTTTTCTATTCTGAATTTCTAAGACACCTATTGGGGATTTAGAACATGGAGCTTGTGTGCCAGTGCCTAATGATGCCTCTGGTGTTGATCAGTAAACCACTTATGGTGATGTGATATTCAGTTTTCTTATTTAGATATCAAACTCAGTAGTTCTTACATAGATATGTAAAACCAAATAGCTATTATATAGAAATTAATATGCCATAGGTTATGTATAGACATGTTGTACTTAGTAGTAGTTTATAACTTGGATGAAATCATTTGCATTGTTTTAGAAAATATAACTTCACCAAATTATCAGGTGTACCTGTGAATATATGTTTTTTAAAATATTATTAACATATTTTTCCATACTTATTAATTATATATGTATATATATATATATTGGGAAAATGTGCAAATTAAGAAAATTATTATCTCACAAGTCCCCCAGGGGAGCAACAGTATGTCTATGGACTTATAACATTAAAATCCAGGGTTTAATTCCCCACAGTGCACACAGCAGATAGCCCAGTGTTGCTTTGCTCTAAAATAAACAAATAAACCAAGTGAAAATGTTAGCTAGACCAAAACAGGTGAATCAGAAAATCACTTGAAACAATTCATAAGTTAAAGATTTCATTAATAAATCAAAATTGAAAATCCTAACAAACCACAGAGCATAACTGTGAGCTGTAAAAGATGAGAGATAACAATTTTGTTTACACATTCATACACTTTGTTATCATCAAGATTTGTAAAAATATTCATTCAGCTCACTTTCTTATCCTTGTTAATCATTCCTTCCCTGTGAGTCAGCAGTAAGTTTATTTAGTTACAAAGCTAAAATTTAGGGTCAGATACCCTGTGTTGGATAAAATACAGATAGCCTATTGTGTAGCTTTGCTCTAAAAGTAACAAACTTTGCCCTCCCTGTTGCTCAGTGGTAAGTCTGAGAGCTTAAAATGTCAAAAATTGGGTTTCAGTACTCATGATTGACATAGTACAGATACAAAGAAGCACATTTTTTTAAACAATGAATTTAGTCATGACTTAAATAATGTGCCCTTCCCCACAGTGGACTAGCAGTACCTTTACAAATTTACAACTTTAAAACCTGGGGTTCCATTCCTGACAGTGGACAGAGTGCAGATAGAACAAGGTGTAGCTTTGCATAAAAACAATGTCTTAAATAATGCTCTGACTCTTTTAGAAAAATTTGTTGATTGATTGAAATAGCAAGTATTAAAACAGTGTAGAAAATTTCAGATATATATGCATAAATTAAATTAACTTCATTCTTTCTGATATAGTCAAACATATGTTAATAATTAAATCTGATAGTATTATTACAAATCTATTTGTATTTTAACACAAGGTCACTTGTAATTAGATTTTTTAAATAAGAATGGTTATATTGCTAAGATAAACGGAATAATATGTGCTGGATCAAAGCTATAACATATTTATTTTAATATTATTGTGTCATGAAAACTACTGTCTAAAAAGTTGCCTGTAAATATCAAGCCATTATACTTTAGACCTTATCCTGATGATACATTTGTAATTTTTCAGTTACATGAACATATGATATTTTTTATTTTGTCTGAATAATAAGCATCCTAGCATGAAATTACAGAGAAGTAGAAAAATTATTCAAAATTTTAATTTTTCGATACTTTATATCAGTACTGTAGCTTTGAAGTGGATCTAAAACTTTTATGATTTTTAGCATCAAACATGTTTGACATAAGAATCCAAATTGTTTTTCTTTGACATTACAACATTCATGAATGTTTAAAGATGTTCTTAACATATCATGATCTTTTCAGATTTGTTATATAATTCTTGACTAAAATAAGAAAATAAATTCATATTAAACATTGTTTAGTAAGATTCAGTTATTTCAGATACTAAATTCATTTCAAAACTAAATTACATTTGTTGATTAATCTTTTGAAATTCTACAAAAGAGCTTCACATTACCATTGTTAGATATAATTTAAAGTTTTAATCCTTAAAGTTCATATATATTTTCTTATGACTGCAAGTATTATAATTATTTAATCCCCTAGTTTGTTTAGACTTACAATACTAAATTTTGGAAAAAAGATATATATATTGCTCAAAATTTCTAAAATTAAGATTGACATATATCATTGATTATGATATACACAGATTTTATTTTTGTATATGTGTTGTTTTCAAAGCAGGTAAACATATTTATATGTGACAGGTTCAAAGAGATATACCTTATTGAAGGCCACATAAGATGCCTTGACTGTTAACACAACATTGTTCATCAAATTCTTTGCTGCCTGTATTAAAGAAGTTGCACTATCCAGCTGAAAACAAAACATGCAATTAGGATTGGATTTTCATTAAACAAAAAAAGCTATTTATCAACAGTAAGTCAGTAATACCAGAAAATACTGCAATATAACAGAAGAGCTTTCAAAAGAAGAGAAACAACAAGTCTTAATGCTAGGATAGTAGCAGTTAAAAATAATGATGTGACTCAAGTGTTACTACAGAAAATTAAAAAAATTAAAACAATAAGATAGTAACAGTTGAAAATTGTGAAATGAGAACAATAATAAATGACAGAAAACACAGCAAAAGGTCTTAGTATTACAACAGAAATGATAATCTTTAAAATATTTTATATACACACATTGTAGGAGAAAAGTTTCTAATACAATGACAGTAATAGATTAAATTAATGATAAATGACATATAACAGTAACTAAAAGAAACAACAGGTCACAACATTAAAGCAAAAACAGTTGAAAATAATGAGAATGACAGAAAAGTTGTTAATTAATTAATTACAAAATTTCCCAATCTGAAGACATTAATAATTGAAAACAATAAAAATATTGGTAAAATATTTGGTGAGAAAATAATAAGTCATAAAGTTAAGCCAGTAATGACTGAAATATAAAAATATATAAAAGAACAGTTGCTAAAGAAAGAAAAAGTCACTATCTATATTAGCTAGTAACAGTTGAAAATATAGTGCAAGTGTTAAAGTTACTTTTAGAAGTGATACTTTATTGCAAGGTTACTATCAATGCAAACTGTCTAACTCTGCAAACATGAATATATACCTGTAAAAGGGAAAACATGAACAAAAACAATCTTAAGCACAACTTTACAATTAATAGTAATAGTAAAATGATGCATCAGACACTATTTTAAACAGCTAAGCTGTGCATGATTAAGTGGAATTTCTTCCTTTGTCCTTAGCTGCTTGATGAACTACATATATCAACCTAGTAGAATATCATGTATGAGGATCTTACAGTGATCCATAAAATTTTATAGAAGAAATAATGTTCACAGAACACACTGTACAATGACATTTTATATATATCTTTATTAAGTAAAAAGTTTGAATCTTACCCCTGTAACAATCAAATTTCCAGAGATGCTCTGTACATCAGCCTTAACCTTACTGGTGATGTTTAACTGATGAGTATAGAGAGCTATTCGTTGGAGATAAGCTAACAAATCATTCTTAGTGCTAGATTCTGGACACTACAAAAAAGGTATATCACATAAAAATTGGTGTTTGTTTCAGATATAACAACATAATACATCATTCTATAAACTGACGCTTGTTTTTGTACATTTCAAAACATATTGTATAAACAGTAATTTATTCTTAACATTTATTAAAGAAGATATATCACTATATAAAATAGTCCTTGATTCTGCACACTTCAATACAAAATATGTACTTGTAGAAATAAGTCTATGTTTCTGAATGCACAAAAAAAATATACACATAAATCAATATCAGTTTCATTCTAGAGAATATAAATATTACAAAATAATGGATGATTTCAGACATGAAAGAAATATATAACATACTATACAGTAGAAAGCAAAGCTTGAATCTGGACTCTATAAAACAAGACTGTTTAGCTTAATAGTTATTATTTAGTTTTCATAACAAAGTTAATTATTTTAAAAGTAATAGTTATGACAAGTTTGTTACTTAACTCTGTAAGAATCATACACTGTGTATGCAGTTTGATTGTTGTACTAGGCTTTAGTAACATTGTTGATGTCATCTGACTCGAAGCTTCCATGTTTTTCTAGTTATGTGTAATATTGTTGTTACTAGAGGGCTAGATATTTCTGTATTTTTCTGTCATGTGTTATAAATACATGCAGATATAGCACGTTAAAGAAGATAGAAAAAAAAGTTAGTTAGTGAAATAAAATGTGAAGTTAGCTGGCATATGAGTGATAAGCCTTAACAGGTGATTTCTATAGTGAGTTTCACAACTGTATTGTAACAATAGAAATAGGAAAAATAATTTGTTTTGTCATTTGGGCAAATGACAGATCGTATAGTGGAGATTTTTAAGTGAATTATCACAGACTGTATTGTAATAACGAGTAGAAAATAATAATTTATTATGCCAATTGTATTCTAAAGTAACTGAATCAGCCTGTGTGGACTTTTGACAATAAGAAAAGAGACAGTTATTTAAAGCTTCAGATATTACTGTGGTAACCAACAAAAAAGATAAGTTTGTGAAAGTGAATGGAAACTGTGTGATTGTTAGTTTAGCCATAATGGGCAATATTTTAAAGTGAGTTTCACAGTTGAACAGACAGATAAAGAGAATAATTTTTCTTGTCAAAGGGTGTTCTAAAGTAATTGAACCCATCTGTGTTAACTTTGACGAAACAGAGACAATTATTTGAAGTTCTGTTTACAACAGATTGTATAGTAAGAAACAGAGTAGAGAAATATAATTTGTCTTGTTAATTGGATTCTAAAGTAATTGAATCATCATATGTAGACTTTTGACAAGAAAAGATAATTATTTAGAATTTTAGAAACAACTGTGATATTCTATAGTGTAAAGAATTTTTTGTACATATGTTTGACTTGTTTTGAATATAATATTTTCAAACAAGTAGATTGTGTGCTGTCCGTTTATTGTTTGAATTTATTGCCAACAAGTCACAGACACCTACTGTAAGAAAATCCCAGCCCATTTATACTAAAACCCTGACAAAGACAGATCATAGTAGAATCTGATAACTGTTTCTAGACACTATAAAATAACCTATCTAATAATAGGTTGAATCAATGTTTCATTCTGTAGATACAAAAGCTTGATAAACACAGTTTAAATCAGTGTTTGCTTTTGCATATTAAAACTATGATACATCATTATATAAACCACTGTTTGTTTCTGGGCACTACAATATCATGTATGTCATAGTAAAAATAACTGATTGATTTTTGACACTCTGAAACAGAACATATCACATTACAAACAAGAACTGTGGGTATTTACTGCTGAAGAAACTGTAAATACATCTCATATTTCTCTACAACTAACCTAATGATCTAGAGCTTAAAATGTCTACTTACTTGTTGTACAATTTCTGTGGCAATCTTGTCTAACTTAACACCATAGTTAGAAATCATTTTTGCCGCCTGAATGACATCCATAGTTGTTTTCAAAGGTCCTCTGCCACTGTCACATAAAATAGCAAATTTTTAATTTTTTAAGAACGTATTGTATAATTTACATACAGTATTGGAAATGTGAGTAATACACACACAGATGTCACAAACAATGACTAACAGCAAATAAACATTGGCTTATCATTAGAACAATAGATTATTAAAGAAAATGCAAATATGTTTTTTATTTGCTTTAAACAGGTTAGTACTTCTTGTTTATATGCTACCATAAATTTATTAATGTATTATTGAGAAATGCTTTCCTAAATGTTCTGTTTTAAACCCCACAGTTTATCAAAATTGCCTGGTAGCCATTTAATTATTTAGGTTTCCACATAGGTCATACAGCCTTAACACAAGGATTACATGCTAGCCATAGTTGCAGGTGTTCCATTGACTTATTTATTCTATTCACATATAGTTTCACCACATGTCTACTGCATGCTTGGGAACACTGCCTTGCTAGAAAATAAATCTCAGCCCATAGGTCTTGTTCCTGAGAAAAATACATGATCTATAAAAGTTTTCTTGTACCTGCCATCTGGCAGGGTGCCATTAATTTTGTATAGATCTCTAACATTGATTATGATATCAATCTACTCTATGCCATCAAATAAAGTATTATTGATTATTCTTAAACAATTTGAATTATTCTGTAAAGTGCCCCATCCTCCAGCTTTGCTTATCCCAATCTTTAAAGTCTGATTTTTGCAACTTTTTTATCTTCCCTAAGTAGTGGTTTATGAGTAGCTACACATTTCTTGCTAATGTGTACCATAAATACTATTCTGGAAGTACCAGTTGTACCTGTACTTAATGCTAAGTCATTGGTAAGCTTTCTACTGACTGATCAGGTATCATATAGAAAATATACACTTTTTATATGACTTCTATATACATTTGCACTTGATACCCATTTTATTCACTGT